CACGGCATTCGACCTCGATGACGATCTGCAGCCGCATTTCGTCAAAGGCTACAAGTCCGATCCGACTTACTCTACGCTTTACGCAGAGCTTTCATCGGATCACCCACTGGCTAGCCACTATCGGATTTCCGACGGGTTCCTTCTCCTTCACACGAGAGGAAAGGACTTGTTAGTTGTGCCCCAAGATCGCATCTTACGGACTCGTCTTCTCGGCGAATTCCACGACGCACGACTTTCGGCACACCTTGGAGTGAACCGCACACTAGCATGCCTCCGCCAGCGTTTTCACTGGCCCGACGTCCTTCATGACGTCACGAGGTACATTGAGTCATGTGCAGTTTGCCGCCGTAACAAGGGTCGACCTTGAGTCCCCTTCGGCGAACTGAAACCGTTGCCGATCCCTCGGGCACCACGCCTCTCCATTGCTATGGACRTGACAGGCCCGTTTCCCCGCGATCGCCACGGCCATGACGGTATTCTCACGGTCGTTGACCGTTTGAGCAAGTATGCTGCAGCACCTGAGCTCGCACGACTCTTGCACACTGGTTGGATTACCAACCAGGGTGTTCAGGAAGATATAGTGAGCGACCGAGATACTCGCTTCATGTCGACTTTTTGGACTTCCCTCATGACTGAGTCCGGTACGACAATGAAGCCGAGCTCGGCTCGGCACCCGCAAACGGATGGCCAGACGGAACGAGCGCACCAGACCGCTCAGATGATGTTGCGTACACTCATCCGTCCCGACCAGAAAGATTGGGTTGACCGGCTTCCCGACATCGAGTTCGCCTATAACACTTCGGTGCACCCAGCGATCTGCGTCACACCATTCGAGTTACATCATGGTGGAGAGAAAGCACGGATCTTCGCTGATCTCCTTGTGCCACAGGCTGCCGACATAGACGTCCCTTGCTCTCCCGCTTCCGTCCGGAAGTACGGGGACTTGCTGATCAAAGCCCGCGCAAATATGCAAAAGGCTCAGATCCGCATGCAGCAACAGGCTAACCGACATCGACTTCCATGTCCTTTCCGCGAGGGAGACCTTGTTTAGGTTCTCTCCGAGGAATTTGCGCTCGAGCAAGATGTTTCGTGCAAACTCCTTCCGAAATGGTTCGGACCATGGGAAGTCACTTCTGCCGTTGGAGACGATCCCGCAAGTCCTTTCTTCGTGATCAACATTCCACCGCACCTTACAGTGCATCGGGTCTTCCACGCATCAAAGCTGGCCATCTACATGCCACCTTCAGATGACGAGTTTCCCGGACGTCGATCACAGGATCCGCCCTCCATGGACGGACATCAGGAAGTGGACCGAGTCATCACGCACCGCAAGTATGGCAACAAGCCAATGCAGTACAAAGTCACATTCAAGCAATGTGCGCCTGATGACACTCGGTGGATCTCCAGTACAGATTTGCAGACTTCTGCACCCSTTATCTTCGCCGACTATGAGAAGCGACGCCTTGCTAAGGACGCAGCTCGTCCCACCCGACCCATCYCGGTATCGGACAGACAACTCCGCCCTCGCAAGTAGCTCGGTCTTTTAARRGGGGGAGTGTGTTACATCTTCGACGCYACACGGGTCCTACCGGACCCGACTTAGGGCTARAGGGACACATCAGGGCCTAAAGGCCCGACCTTGGGGGATAAYAGGCCGAAAGGCCACGACTTGGACCCRACTACGGACCAGGCCCAAATGACATTTCGTCTTTGGGCCTGACGGCGCCGTTTGAGGCTGCCGCTCTCCGGTTGGACMTGAATCGTCGATCTGGACGGTTCARCCCCAACCAAGGCCTCGCRGCAGTGAGGCCGGTYCTCTTCGAACCARTACTTAGTACTGGTCCGGCCTCACTTCGAGGCATCGACCCACCGGTATTCTACGCGGTGCGGTAAGGTCGGCGCCAGAGYGCCGTTTGAGCGCTATTCCTAGCGCAGGAGCGAAGGGCAGCAGCARAGCGACCTAGCACAGCGGCAGCAGCGAGCGAGGACAGCAGCAGCAGCAYGGCGGCCATCGCCGCCTCAGCAGCAGCAACTGCAGGTACCAGGAGGCGGGGATCTCTTCCTCCCTCCTCGGTCCCTTTCCCTCCTCCTCACCTTCGTCTCTCTCTCTCTCTCTCTCTCTCTCTCTCTCTCTCTGTCTCTCTCTCTCTTCTTCTTCTTTTCCTTCTTCTTCTTCTTCTTCAGACCGGAGACCTATACTAGTTGGACAGAGATCAATGTTGGACTTCGGTGGTATGAGACTGTGGTACTTACCGGATTGAAGACTTGGAGATCGTTGGGGTTGATACTTGGCGACATCACAGTTCAGACACCGGTTACATTTGGACTCTGTATCCCCGACATTGGTGACCTATGGTCCTCGACATTTTGATCTTGTTGGATGACATTTTGGACTACCATATCGGTGACCTATCAGATTCTATCTCGGTGACTTTCGGTGCTGTCTACCTCCCCCCACCTCTTCGTCTCTCCTCCCCCATTCATCTGTGTATGTGTGTACGGGGCTGAGCATCTTCTATGTATGGCTCAGACCCCACCACCTCACGATTGTATGTGTGTGGAGTGATGCTATGTAAGTCAGTCTATGTGAGTCAGTCTATGTGAGTCAGTCCGTTCATCAGACTTCCGTTGCATATATGCTCATCCTACATTGGTTGATCCTTGGTTCTGCCCATACTCATTGGAGTATGTAACAGTATCCCAGACATTAGGTCCTACTTAATTGGCGTGCAAGGTACAACACAAACAATGTAAGTGTTGCAGGCCACCGCTCTTGCCATTATACGAAGGGAAAGTCATTTGTTTCAAAGCCGAAAAATAAACATGATCAGCCTCCCTAGGTTCTCTTGGTGGTACACAGACAGAGTCCCTGCTATAGAGGCTGACTACATGGCACGGATGCACTCGCCCGTCTATTCCTAATTAAGTGAGCTGAAAGATCTTGGGGTATTAATTAATCCCAATCCAAGAGAAACTTGGCTAGAAAATAGGCAAGTCTCCTTGGTACTGAAGCATTCCCACCCATTAACAAGATCTCAGTCCCACGTTACGTCAACACTCATCTCATCACACGACTTGCCCAATTTTCCTTTTCCCAGAATATCGTCCCCTTTTCCCCTTCTCGAAAATGCAGCCCTACTCTACGTGCCTAACACTCTTGGTTTTCCATCAACTGCATCCAAGACTCTGATTTACTCTTTTGTTTTAAGCGGGGAACCAAATTTCCCCCAGGCAGTCCCACATGTTTCGCCAATCTTGGTGCCAATTACCGGCTCACGGAGAGCGGAGGGAGAACCCTCCTCACAACGGAACCCAGTCGGGTATAATGCTGATTATAGCTATAATTAACATAACGAGGCCAACCGAGTCAAATCAAACATGAAAAAGGAGACTTGATCAACTAACGGCGACATTTGGCCCGAGGCACACACACTCATTATATGTGATCCAATGTGCATGCGTGCTACTTCATGTCCCGTGTCAGCTCTCGGCTTATCTTAACCCGCATTCCGATTTAAGCGGTGTCCATTGTCCAGAGTAGGAAGGAGCCAAGAAATGCTCGTCCCACATAGAACTAGAATAGTTGTCACTCAGGCACGTGTTTGCGAGTAGGATCCATTCACGAAAGCAAATACTCAGACGCTTACGGATTTTCACAAAGTCTCATGATTTAACACTATTCGAGAATAGTTTGTACTAGCAGTTAGGGCTCGACGTGCCCTCGACCCACCTCTACAGTCACTACCGGGGGCATAAGAAATAGCAATACTTATCATGCCTTCGGCGCCACAATAGAATGCTCATTTGTATCTCTTCACCTATTTACCTCGCACGCACAGGCTCATTAGCTGAGAGTCACTCACTAGGGTGGTTGACTTTAGTGGAGGGGTACATACACTTCTCTCACATGAGATGCACACTTGCCCACTTAGAAGTCTCACCCCTGTCCGGTGCTAGCAGTAGCGTAAGAGTGATAATGGAGTCCTGCAACCGTGCAATGGTGGAAAGGGAGAGGTCTTCATCGGCGAGAGGAGCGATATCAATTGCGTGCCCCCATGAGATTTTCCCACGTAAGTCCGATCCCTCGGACGAAACCTTACGTGACTGACCCAAGGCTGATGGGGCGAGAAAATAAGGCCACCTGCAGCTCGCCCGCGTGAGCTTGACGATATCAGCACCAGAGGGGAGATTCTGTCTATTGAAGTGAGAGTGTTCTCTAAATCCTCGCAAATTAATTTGCTCAGCAGGTCCTCCTCCTTCCCCACGTCACAGTCCAGTTAAGCACTCAGGAGCCACGTCACAGTGATCTTCACCTTGATCTCGTTCGTGACCCTGTCTCGTCTGCATCTCCTCTCGGTGCGGTCCTTAGCCTCCGTAATTGCCATTTGCAGGCCTGGGTCCGTCCTCATCTCCTCTTCTTTCACCCCTTCAACGTTGATCGTTAGTTTCGCTTCCTGCCTACCGTGACTATAGTCCAAGATGGCAGTCACAGTCGGCCCATCCCAAGACATCTGCTCCCACCTCCAGATGTGTTGGAGGCATCTCGGCCTGTACCCATATAGCCCGTTGCTACGCACCATACTCGAGCCCCTCCGATCGTATTTGGTACCAGGCTGCCAACTCCGAAATAGCCAAAACTTAGACGCTCAGGACACTCGCACACAGACAAAATCGCGCCCACACCTCGCTGCTCGGTCCTCCTTCTTCGGCCTACTGTACTCAGCCTAAGAGAGCCGCCTAAATCCGAGTATCCAGAGGCTCATCTCCCCCAGACTTTATAGGATCATTACCTGCCGCAATCCCTGTGCTCTATATGAGGAATGCAAATACTTTTGTTTTTTCAAAAATTTTAATAAGACGAATAAAACGAAAGAAGGAGAGAAAGAAAAAGGAAAACCAGAAAAGCCGAACTCCAACGGTCATAACTCAAGCGGCTCACTTTTCTGTCAATCTCTGGTCCCCTCACTTTGATATGAAATGACCACGAGTTCGACGTAGTAGTCCCATAATGGGGTATCGACGAGCGCCCTTCCCTCTTCAAAACGCGTCGTCTGCGTACTTCTATTGGGTGCCCATGTCCGATGGCAGGGAGGGGGCTTATGACGTTCCACGGGGGTGATAAACCTCCTACCGATGCCGCCATGGGTCGCCCCCTTTTTGGGGTCCTTCCGTGCGGCGCCCAATCGACAGATCAACCCCAGGGTGACAAACGAAGGGTCGGCCGGTCTAGAACACCAGGCTGCGCTCAGGGTTCGAAAATGAATCATTATCGGTTCACAAAACGATAAAAGGGGAAAATCGAGTAAAAGGAACCAGTAATAATAATAACAACAAATTAGAAAAAGAAAAGAAAAGCATAACGCCGCCGACCAGAGACCACCAGATCGCCCCAAACTAAAGCGAGGGTCCAGATTTGCGCGCAGGTCCGACACTTGACTACCTTTTTCTCTTCTTATCCCCCTTTTTCTTTTTCTTTCTTTTTCTTTTACCCCTTTTCTATTCGACTGTAACAGCGAGCCTACATATCAACCCATAACCTGGTTAGAGGGCACTCAGCGCGCAATAGAAAAGATCGTGTCAATCCTCCTGATTTCGCGTCCCTGGGCGAGCCAGGCGGCTACCACAACCATAGACCGGTAGTGCTTTGCTGTACAGCAGGGCACCGAGCCTGCGTGAACCAATGGAAAGCCCAGTGGCACACCCCCAACCTTTTGCTAAGGTGCGCGCCAACTGGACCGGTCCATAACAGGGCATAACCCTGGAGTACCAAAAGAACCACAAAGGTTAGGAAACAGCCCGACGAGCCACAGGTGTCTGAGAAGGACGCTGTTACCGAGCAGGAGCCTGACACACAGAGAAGGGCCGGGATACCACGCCCTCTGACATAATACCAAACCCCCGTCGAGCGTCCCTACTGGGCCAAATTTTATGCACCAATTAGTATATGAGAGTGAGGATCGCACACCTTCTCATATTGATTCGCAGTGATTCTTTTCATATAACATTTTGCGTTAGTGATTAACCCCCTCTGCTTAGCGCACCTTTCTCTTCTGTTCTGCAGCGAGTTAAACTGCACGCTATTAGTTGATGCACGCTCACCACCACGCGGACACTCTCGTCCAATCTCCCGCAGCTTACTTACAGCACGGCGCTCGTGTTTTCCCCATACCTCTAGGCTTTGCCCCCGCTGCTATATGTCAATTCTTACACCGTGCCTGAAGCACGTAGGGGACAGGGAAGAGGAAGGGGTGGTAGAGGAGGGAAGGCGAGTGAAGAGCCGCCGGCTCACGGTCGTCGTGAATACAGTTCAGAGGAGGAGGAAAATGAGCCAAGAGGCGATGGTGCCCACTCAAGGCCTTATCCCCGCCACTCGTTCGCTTCATGGTATGAGAGAACCCCTTCTCCAAACATGATGGAGTATTTTCAAAAGAAGTTTGAGGCACGCTACGACGCGCCCAACACCCCTTCCCCTCCATATACTCCTAGAGCCCCCCCCACTCCCACTACAAGCAGGGCCCTGGTGCCTATCCCATTATCCTCTATCCCATGCCCAATCTCTCTTTTTTCT